CAAGCACAATGTAATGACTGTTTTCCCTTCCAAAGAGTGTGATCAAAACTCACAATCAACATAAAGCGATGCATTCAGTGAGGGCATTCCCACTTCTGCAACTTCAAGGATCCGATTAAAGGCAACAAGTTTGGGCTTTGATTATGATGTGTTCTAGGGTCAGATGGTCACAATGACAAAACCTTTCGTAGCCATGCAAGCAATGAATTCACCGATATGTTGCAGTTTTGTTCCTAGAATTGTTCAGAAAAATACTAAAATACAAACATAATAGGAGATTTTTAGTATGGCCCCATATGAATGTATCGTATACGAAAACGCATTCATGAATAGTTTGGAGCTGTAAATAGAGAATAGGCCCAGTATGCGGGGGGATTTGCCAATGGCTCCCCGTTCTATTTCCGCTTGCATCACTGACCTACATTCTCCCTTCAAGATTACCTGCACGCATTTTGCACGTATGTAACACGATAAGACGTGCAGGTGGTCACATCGCTGCTCTGGTTCAATAAATCCACTCTGCTCTTCAACTGGGCCTCAAAAATGTCAACACACATGACAAAAGTTAGGACTCCTTCATACTAAAAACATTTCCTCGACAAACAGAAAGCGGAAAAACATGCACTCTACCGAGAGTACCTGTGGAACCTATCAAAACAATTCTTTGGTTGTACCAGCAACATGGTGCAAATCGATGAATTTAACACACACAATGTGATTTTTCAAACCTAAGATGAATCGCGCTGTGTTGGGACCACACCTTCCGATAAACTGGTCGAATTTCCTCACCATTATAGTAAAACTCAACAAATAGAATATCTGCTCACAACAATTCGCAGTAACTCGACCCGAGTTTTAAAAATAATGCGGGCACATGCATGTACACTCAATTGCTCGGGGGCAGTGAAATAGGACAAAACATGGCTTTTATTTGTTTGGTAGGCTCTCTGTTATATCCATAGTGACCCTGGTTGACATACTTCTGTGGTGGACCAGCCAGGACACCTCTCGTTGTGTTAACACTAACCTCATTGCTAATGTTACTGTTTAAACATGCTTGTAAAAACATATCATGGGCTAAATGGATCATGATGTTTACTTCAGTGATCATGTTATACATCAGTCAACATTTGTTAGTATTACGCATACTACACTATCAACTTTTGACCCTGCCTGAAGCAAATACTGTACATTTTTCCGCTCTCATTGTCTTTCCACGGTGGCTTAAGCATAATTAAACTTTGCACCTGTTGGGTGAGCTATGGATGAAACACAGCTATCTCTTACAAGCACAAATGAAACACACACGCACACACACACACAAACACACAGCGACACACACACCCACCCACCCACACACACAGCAGTAGTATTAAATCAGGGGAGTCAGAATGTTGTGTTTGACTTCCTCACTCTCGCTCCAGGGTGTACACGGCGCACTCTCAGGCCCATCGAATAAAACACGGTGTGATTGTATGACTCCTGACCACTGAGCAGTGCTTTTCACATTACCAAATACTGTTCATTCCTCCAAATGGTAAACATCATCCCACACTAAAGGCTGCTATGTACGCATGTGCAGGCGCGAGGCACAGGACGAGGTGAGTCATTGGTGGTTCAAGCGGTAACCGTATTTCTTGGTGTGTTGATGATTGCGTGTGTGATTACCCCGCCCGGTTGACCCATGCTGTCAGGTCAGAAACAGCTGGAGGGGAGACCTAAACATCTGTTAGTCAGGTCGCAAGCGTGCACTATGATACAAAGACATCGCTCATCATCTGTGGAAAACAGAAGTCAGCTCATGCCGCTTTGCTTGTTTACAAATAACTTATGAACACCAACATGTGAATGTGTGTCCTTGTGTGCACTGAATGAGCCACTCGGCCATTTACATCAGTAGAACACAGTTCTCGAATATCACCAGCTCAATGAACTTGGTCATGGACAGCAACATTATTATTGTATTGTATGTACTGTATGTTTTTATAACATTTAACTGTGTTCACAGATGGACAAATATTGATCTATTAAACATTAATAGATAAAGAATATGTAGTTAAATGGACATGAATGTGATTGTGAATGATTATCTGTCTCTATTTTCGGAGACACAAGCACATGCACTCGGCGTGAAAACTGGCTCCATTTTGATCCCGGGGCAAGTCCAGTTCACCTTGTTTGGGAAATTGGCAGACCACTCTGCGCCATGCTGGATGTTTCAGTGCATTTTCTTGTATTGCCCTCGGTGCGCCTGACAATTTGGTGATAGAAAGTAGACTAGAACCGTAGACCGGCTAAAAGCAGGACTAAGATGTGGCGCCGGTGGAGCAATTCGATTTTGGTGGATTTCATTGAAACACAGGCAGACAGATTCTGCGCTCCACTCATATTTCTGGTGGATGTCATATTTTTTTCATAAATAGGACAAAACAGTGTGCATCGAACCCTCTGAATTCTTGTAGAAATAGATTCATTGAATTGTGGAGGGTATTGGCATTCACACACACAGACACAATGATCGTAGTGGAAGCGGGGCTCCAAATGCGCACTTCACAGCACTGATGTATGACTGCCATGACAAACGTTACATCATTCACTCTTTGGGGGTCTGCTTGAAGTTCCTTATAAACATTCTTTGGACGCTTTGATCTTCTGCATGGACTCCAGCAAATATATTTCTGCTTCCGCCATGTCAAAGACTGTGCGCCTCTCCTTCTCTGATTTCTAAAGGGGATGACAGGAGCCGCTTCCATTGGTCGGTAAATAAGATGGCTGTGTTCACTCCCACAACGGCGCGAATGCCTAATTGCTTTCAATGCACCAGTCTACGAAAAATACCAAAATAAAGAAGCCCCCACCCATCCACACAGACTCTGCGCTAGACTTGCGCTGGGTACAAAAACAAGGCCCAGTATGTTCCTTGTGATTGACAGACGACCAATCCGCCTTTTGCTCTGTGTCAGCTGGTATAGGCTCCATGATAAACTGTATAGAAAATGGATGGATGGTTAACGAAATGACAAATGTTTGAGTCTTGTGTATACGATTGGCGAGAAAGAGGTCTATTTTGTTTGTATATTTAAACACACCGAAATCAAATTACATATTTTATGTGTATCATAGACAGATGTTACCAATTTTTGTGTTTGATAGCAGACGCGGCAAATGTCCAGTTAAAAGTTGGACATAATAACTTTCTTGTCTGAAAAGGCCAAGGGGGGAAAAAGCCCACATAAACTTGTTCTACTTTACAACGTTGCCCTTGGTGTAAAATTCTCATTGATGTAAAACTGGGGCTGTCCTGTGTATGTGTGTGTGTGTGCCTGGAGGAGGTGCATGACTGTTTGCACACCCGTCAGTATGACCTGAGTGTTAATCTCAGATGGCCCTCCAGCCCCCAACACATCCATTCCTCACAAGTGCAAGAGCAGCTGAGGTCTCCGGGTTAAAACCATATCTGCTCTTAGGAGGACAAGGATCATCGAAGCAAGTGACACAAACCCCATTTGTAAGAGTGAGCTAACATGTTTGCATTTGTATATTCAAACATAGGGGTTTTGTTCCGACTTATACCACTCAATTCAAGCTACGTCATCTTTGTATATAGTAGATGGCGTTTAATCACATGACAAAAACACAAAGTGGGTTGTTATTTTGAACTCAGGTGAAAAAAAAGTGGGAGAACATGAAGTGCAGTGAGCATGCACAAGCACTAGAAATGGGATATGGCATTAAATGAATGCTCCGTGCCTGCAAGGGCAAAATTACGCTTGTGGAAGCTGAGGGAAATCAATGATGCATGTTTCTTTGGAATCTATTCTCGAAACTTTGAGCACTTCAAATCGGATTTACCAAAAAGTGACTCATGACACTTTAAGACAGGGGTCGGGAACCTACGGCTCGCGAGCCAGGTGTGGCTCTTTTGATGACTGTATTTGTCTCGCAGATGAAACAAAATATTCTCGCTTGTTTCATCCATCCATCGATGTTCAGGGCTGCAGTTGGCGGCAGTAGCAATTTTAATTGGATGACACTGGCCGACGTTGCCCGTTGCTGGGTAACAGGTAAACGCCCCCTTTTGAATCAACCCGCTCGGTCATTAGCTCAAAGCTAATCCTTCGCCGAATAAAATGGTGAAAAGAAAAAAAATGACGAGAATAGTACACGTCAGGACGAATGGCCCGAAGGATTCGCCTTTGTGGAAAGAACAGGTTCTGCGGTGTGTTTAATTTGCAATGACAAAATGTCATCGATGAAACGGTCGAATGTAAAGCGGCACTTTGACACGCGCCATGCTACATTCACATCAAAATACCCTGCGAGATACAGAGGAAAGGAAGCACGCAAGCTACTGAGCAGGGTGCAAGCTAGCCTGCAGCAACTCTGCGAATGGACCCGGCAAGATGACTATAATTCCGCTAGTTTTACTGGATCGTGAGCAATTGTGAGGAACGGAAAATTATTCATATTAACGGTGAGTATTGTTACAAAATGTTTTCAAAAATACATTCAGAGGCTTATTTTACTGACATTTTGTTGAATTCACTTTTAAAATACAGTTTTATATATATATATGGCTCTCACTGAAATACATTTCCAAATATTTTGTTTTCATGGCTCTGTTAGTTTCCCGACCCCTGCTGTAAGTGCAAAAAAAGACTTTAATTTATGAGTTGTAGCTGTAGATTTACGAGAGGCGTCTCTGAGTCGGCATCCCGTACAGGAGCTCCATGAATTTATTTGTACTTTCTCAACAATTTATGACCGTTTAGTCTTTGTTTTCCATTGTGCTAAACTGTTTCACACTGTTAACATCATTTTGGATTTCAGTTTGAGTTGTTTTTTTTTTTTTCCATTGAGAATCTCTGCACTCTTTATGAGCACTTTTACATTGGCAGCCCATCAAAATAGCTGCATTAACATTGTCATTTATTTTTTTGCATCGTGCTCAACCACATTATCACAATGTTTTAACTGTGACATATTTTTGTGGATAATATTGTGACAATTGGTCTTTTTTTGCTGTTTGTTTACAATACTACAACCATGAGGGGCTTTGCCCCAACATGGAGCCGGCCAGGAGGAAATATGGAGGACAGCCAGCATTAAAAAGAAGTAAGGTCAAGTCAGAAAAAGTGCTAAACGGGACAGTTTTGAACCGTAGTTTACATTTTTCATTATGGTAAATGTGTGGATGAATTAACGATTGTTTAAAAAAAAAAAAAGTTTACATTGAACCTACAGCTGCTGCAACCAAGGGGATTGTCGTAATGCAGGCTGTGTTTGCGAATTTGCAATTTATGCACCCATCACTCTCGTAAATTTGATATTTTAATTGAATAATTTGTTAATTATATTTTTATTTAATCATCAATACTTCACTAATTGCATTTTGTGTTTCATCGACTTTCAGAACGTTGCTACGGCTGCTTCACGGTGAAGTTCAGCTGAAGGTTGCATTTCAATGCAAACATGAATTGCACATGAGATGAAGAGTTGAGATCATCTCAAATGACGGAGAGAGCGAAAGACAGGAAAACGAAAAATAAAATGTTGAACTACACTAAAGAGAGACCACAAATCAACAAAATTTGACAATTTTTGGGGAAACAAATTACAAATAAATTTACAAAAGCTTCCATGACAGTCAATAAAAACACTTCAGGTGTCTAATTTGTCCCCTCACCCGACATGAGATGATGTATGCATATTTCTACGAGAACTGCGCTGTTCCAAAAAGGCATTATTGTGAGTCGTGTATGTTTGAAATCGGTTTGAAAATAATTGTATGCATCACGTGTACAACCCATCCGTCTTGCTTTCTGATCCGATGAAAACAACTCAGTTCATTCAGCCCTTATCAGTTCATCAACAGTGAAGAAACACACGGCTCTCATGATCATCCATTCATTCATTCATTTTCTGATCCGCTTTATCGTCACAAGGGTCGCGTGGCGTGCTCGGGCCTACCCCAGCTGTCTTCAGGCAGTAGGAGGGTGGGGGTGGGGGGGACACCCTGAACCAGTTGCCAGCCAATTGCAGGGCACACACAGACAAATAACCATTTACACTCACAGTCACACTGAGGGACAATTTAGAGCGTTCCATTAACCTGCCATGCATGTTTTTGGAATGTGGGAGGAAACCGGAGTACCCAGACAAGACCCACGCAGGCACATGGAGAACATGCAAACTCCACACAGGGAGACCGGAGCTGGAATTGAACCCGGTACCTCTGCACTGTGAGACCAAAATCATGTAATGCTTATTTTTTAATTTTAAGTTGAATCTGTTTTCAGGTGCGCCCTAATATTGACTGCCGACCATTCTCGGATATTGACTGGATAGGCTGCAGCTCCTCAAGAATCTGAAGAAACCAAGCGCTGTCGAGAAAGGGTGGATGGATGTTTTCAGTAGCACGTTAGGAGCTATAAGTTTAGGGTGGATGGCTTGCAATTTGAGAGCCTCCTATTATTTTTTATGCGCATGTATTTTTGTGTGAGTGTGTAGCCTATATGTGTTTTTGTTCTTTTCATATCACCTTCAAATGACTGTTTTTGTTGGTTATGGTCAAATTTGTGTGTGAGATGGAGCGTGTTTGCTTTGTGTGGTTTTCCACCGGCTGTGTAGGACGTCTTTCAGCTTCCTTCCCCATCATTAAAGCCAAGACAGCATGAAGGAAACATGATTTGACAAAGTATGGGTCGTGGAGATTTCCTTTTAATGAAGCATGATTCTTGGAGCTACTGCGGCTGAGAGAAGGCAAAAAAACCCAAAAAAACTGGCAATGAGAGTGATGCTGTTTTTGTAATCACGAGCTGCTTTGTGCCCCCTGTAGGCAACAGCTGACTAGATAACCAATTACTACCTTAGTAAGGTTTGTGTTAGATTGTGCCATTGCTATGAGTATATCACATGCTAACTTGTTATACTGTGACGGCCATGACACTCAAGACAATTAATTCCCATAATAAATACCATGAAGAAATGATTACAGTGAAGCAATTTAGAAAAAAAAATGTGTGTGTGTTTGTGTGTGTGTATGTGTGTGTGCGTGTGCGCGCGTGTGTGTGTGTGTGTGTGTGTGTGTGTGTGTGTGTCTGTGTGTATGCACGTGTGCATCTGTGTGCGTGTTTATAACTGTCCCCCCCCCATAAAATTGGTCTAAAAATTCCACTGCTGTTATATTAATGTGTTTCTTTTTAGCTAAACTAATCATACACAGTTGATTTGATGTGATTTTCACAAATGCACTTTACAGGCCATAAAACCAATCTTCCCAAAATGTTTAGAGACATTTTTATGATTGCCGTTAGGGGTACCTCACAGTACACAATCTCTTCCTTTTATCCCTGGTCTAAAAAAAGTTCACCTTTACAACACCAACAGAGTGCCTTCATTTTCAGGGGCTCCAAAGTATTTGCAGATTCGACAGAACGGTAAATCCAATCCGACTTTATTTAGAAAGTACTTTAAAAACAACACAGTTGTTATGACCCCTCCACCTGATGGCAACTGGGGAAGGGTCTAACGCAGTGGTTCTTAACATGGGTTCGATTGAACCCTCGGGGTTCGGTGAATCGGTCCCAGGGGTTCGCGTGTCATAACTAATTGACATGTTGAGTTGGGCGTGTCTTAACCTCCATGGCAGAGGCTCGGTCGAACCCCTGAGACCAATTCACCGAACTCCTAGAGTTGGATCGAACCCAGGTTGAGAACCACTAAGAATCAAGTTGGACAGTGAAGTGACATGTGGTTCTCAAGAGTCATCTATACTGTAACTATCATGTCTCCAACACTCTTTCCTTAGGGGATCAATATAATAACCCAGACGCAAAATTCCCAGTGTCAGGTGAACATAACATGACAGAGAGTGAGTGTAAGTCTCGAATGGGTTTAGGGTTTCACAGAATGACACACAGAGTCCGTGTCAGCAGGTGGAAAGGAGTGTGTTATGATACGCATGTACCGAGTGCGTATGCCGCTGTGTGTTCAGGGGTGAGGGGATCACTGGTTGGTTGCTGGGATTCCTCTTTGCTGGTATTTAGCCTCGCTGCTGCAGAGCCTGTGTTTTTAACCATGACAGCTGCTAATCTGCTGGTCGTCTGATGAGCTGTCTGGCTGGAAATAGGGGTGTTTGCGCAAAAGCATGTGTGCACATGTCGGATTTACTACTTCATACCCACATTCTTGAGCTTTAACGGTGTAACACGGTACAGCAAAGTCCTCTTTAGTATGCATGGTGGCTATAGCCTGGAGAGAGGTGAGCTTTTAGGGCAAAGGTTGGTGGACCCCATCAACCTTTTAATACGCTGCTCCATTTTTTTTTCAGCACGCCCTCTCGCAAAAACATAAAATAGAGCTATTTTGGAGCTGCTCCATTTCCATGAAAATATACCAATGAAAGAATCGTGAATTTGTAAGATTTATTGAAGTCGCACCACAAATGATAGTACAGTGGAAACGAAAGGCAGGAATTCTCTGATGTCCGATGCCCAATCCATATCAACACCACAGAAAGGATTCATACGAGTTAATTTAACAATACGAGGCTCAGTCCCTTTGGTCATGTATCATTCTTAATATCTCAATTCTCTGGAAACCATCCAAATCAAACTCATTTAACTTGACCACCAAACTGGGCAAGAAGGATTTTCTTCCGCCAGGGTCTAGCCCACTAAACCTAATTTGATGTCTTTTTTTATGCTTGTTCAGCACAAACCTTAATCACAGCTTGTTGTTTCCCTCCCCGCAGACTCACTGTTGCTTGGACTCCACATGACGAGCCCGAACGAGTGGGGTCGGGTGATTGAGTTCACAGTGAGTGCTTGTGAATGCATGTAAGCGAGTGAGACAGAAGAAAGAGAGTGAGGGATGAAAAAAAAGGGAAGTGAGGAGGGAGAGATTGACGGGACAACCTGGGTCGACTGACCACAGAGCAATTCTCCTTGCAGACCTCATGGCCCACAGCTGATCATAGCACATGGTAATTAGTTTACCTCAGTGAACACATCGAAACGCGGGTGTGCGCACACACACACACACACACACACACACACACACACACACACGCACACACACACACACACACACACACACACAGACACACAAATACACATGCACTTACACACACACAAATACGCACGCAAGCACACGCACACACACACACACACACACACACACACACACACACACACACACACACGCACACACACACACACACACACACGCACACACACACATGCACACACACACACACACACACACACACACACACACAAATACGCATGCAAGCACACACACACACACAAATGCGAACACGCGCACACACACACACACAAACCCACACCCACACACACACGCACGTACACTCACATAATTGCCACACTCTTTGCAAAAATGGAACTAACATAGTATTACAGACTTTACTTATTCACATGCTTTAACACACACACACACACACACACACACACACACACACACACACACACACACACACACACAGACACGCATTATGTGTGTCAGGCTGTCCTTGGGGAATCTGGCAGTGCAAGTCAAATGACACAGGACTTTGTCACACACGATATTGCAGTGTGGAAGTGGGTCAGTGAGTATTTGCAAAGCGTCATGTTTGTCTTCACATGTGTGGAAAGCAGATGGGTGGAGTCACACAAACCAGGACACTCAAGACCTTGTAATGAGGACATGTTGCTCCAAAGGCCATTGACAGAACATATTGGTTTACTAATGTACAGTCGGTGCTTTAAGTAGAGTGCTACGCACCAGTATGGAGTACCAGCACTTCTCAATTTTAGCCTCAAGCATACTGGGACTTTTTACGGCGTACCGGGACTTTACATGAGCCCATAGTACCCTCTCTTCGTCTTTTTCTCTCTTGCGCTTTGTGATAGGCACCGGTCCCTCGCGAGGCAGTCTCACAAATCGAATGTGTTGCAGAAAAACGGACGTGAAGAAGAATAAAAAGTGAAGAAAGTACCGGTAAACAGCGAGTAGAAACTTTGAAACAAATTATTTATCCAGTCATTTTTTTCAAGCCAAACAAAATTGTAATATAATCAGTTCGTCAGTCTGTCAACTTATTTTAACCACGCTTTTGTCATTGCTTTAGAAGAGTAAATTTCATCGGTCTGCCAATCTGTCTATTGTCAATCCGTCGCCAAGAACACCCACCACCCTTGTGAGGATAAGTAGATATTAGAAAATGGATGGATGTGTGTGTGTGTGTGTGTGTGTGTGTGTGTGTGTGTGTGTGTGTGTGTGTGTGTGTGTGTGTGTGTGTACATGTATACTGTATATATGTTCATGCATTTAAAAAAAATGTTTTTATAGGTTTTGGTTTTATCGAGCTTCTGGATTTCTGTTTGATCAATTTCCCAGTGGATGATGCCATGATGATTAGCATATTCAAAACACATAATATTTCCACCCAATTGCAATCCGAATTATACACCATAAAGGCAGTAAAAACATTATTTTCTTATGTATAGTTCATCAGTAAGCCGCTGATACAACATGTAAAACACAGCAAAATTCATTGGTCAATTTTCCTCAG